GAAGCAGAGGCTGACATTTCCTCCAGGGAAGCAGATCCTGAGGTGGATGGGACACCAGGGGCAGCATCCAGGACCCCCTCCTCGCTCTCCACCCCCGTACTGCCACCCACCGGTGCTGGATCCTTACCGGAGTCTCCCTTCATCTTCCGGAACCTTTCCTCATTCCGGAACTTTTCTCTAAAAGCTCCGCTCTTCTCCTTCAGCGTCTTTACCAGATTCTGCTGCTTCTTAATGGCGTCCTCCAAACCCTTCATCTCCGGCTTCATACTCTGCCTCTTGCTGCTCCATGACGTCCTCCAAACCCTTCATCTCCGGCTTCAGACTCTGCCTCTTGCTGCTCCATGACGTCCTCCAAACCCTTCATCTCCGGCTTCAGACTCTGCCTCTTACTGCTCCATGACATCCTCCAAACCCTTCATCTCCGGCTTCATACTCTGCCTCTTGCTGCTCCATGACGTCCTCCAAACCCTTCATCTCCGGCTTCAGACTCTGCCTCTTGCTGCTCCATGACGTCCTCCAAACCCTTCATCTCCGGCTTCATACTCTGCCTCTTGCTGCTCCATGACGTCCTCCAAACCCTTCATCTCTGGCTTCATACTCTGCCTCTTGCTGCTCCATGACGTCCTCCAAACCCTTCATCTCCGGCTTCAGACTCTGCCGCTGCTTCATGATGTCCTCCAAACATTTAGTCTCCGGCTTCATACTCTGCCTCTTGCTGCTCCATGCCTTATCATGGAGAACTTTCTTCTTCTTGTAGTCAGTTTTCAGACTCATCAACTTTTCCTCCTCCTTTGCGATTCTCACCAGATAATCAGCAACCCGCTCTCTAAAGACAGGGAGGGATTCCCCACTTTTAGGGCCACAGCCAAGGTCTTCAGGTGCTGGTGAAGTATGGGAAGGCAAGCTGGGTCCCTCAGGGGGAGCATGGTCTGAGCCTAGCCCAGAAGAGGCCATGTTTCTGGGGCCAGGCAAGCAGGCCTGGCCCCCTAGTGTCTGGAGAGGGAGAGCAACTGCAGCACAACCTCTCTGGTACAGAGACTGATGTGACTGTGGGGGAGGGGACATTAGAGCGTAAGCTCCTCTGGTGCAGAGACTGATGTGACTGCGGGGGGAGGGGACATTAGAGCGTAAGCTCCTCTGGTGCAGAGACTGATGTGACTGCGGGGGAGGGGACATTGGAGCGTAAGCTCCTCTGGTGCAGAGACTGATGGACTGCGGGGGAGGGGACATTAGAGCGTAAGCTCCTCTGGTGCAGAGACTGATGTGACTGCAGGGGGGGGGGACATTGGAGCGTAAGCTCCTCTGGTGCAGAGACTGATGGGACTGCGGGGGAGGGGACATTGAGCGTAAGCTCCTCTGGTGCAGAGACTGACGGGACTGCGGGGGAGGGGACATTAGAGCGTAAGCTCCTCTGGTACAGAGACTGACGTGACGTGACTGCGGGGGAGGGGACATTAGAGCGTAAGCTCCTCTGGTACAGAGACTGACGTGACTGCGGGGGAGGGGACATTAGAGCGTAAGCTCCTCTGGTACAGAGACTGACGTGACTGCGGGGGAGGGGACATTAGAGCGTAAGCTCCTCTGGTACAGAGACTGACGTGACTGCGGGGGAGGGGACATTAGAGCGTAAGCTCCTCTGGTACACAGACTGACGTGACTGCGGGGGAGGGGACATTAGAGCGTAAGCTCCTCTGGTACACAGAGACTGACGTGACTGCGGGGGAGGGGACATTAGAGCGTAAGCTCCTCTGGTGCGGAGGACTGACGGGACTGCGGAGGAGGGGACATTAGAGCGTAAGCTCCTCTGGTACAGAGACTGATGTGACTGTGGGGGAGGGGACATTAGAGTGTAAGCTCCTCTGGTACAGAGACTGATGTGACTGCGGGGGAGGGGACATTAGAGTGTAAGCTCCTCTGGTACAGAGACTGATGGGACTGCGGGGGAGGGGACATTAGAGTGTAAGCTCCTCTGGTGCGGAGACTGATGGGACTGCGGAGGAGGGGGGACATTAGAGTGTAAGCTCCTCTGTACAGAGACTGATGGGACTGTGGGGGGGGGAGACATTAGAGCGTGTAAGCTCCTCTGTACAGAGACTGATGTGACTGCGGGGGAGGGGACATTAGAGCGTAAGCTCCTCTGGTACAGAGACTGATGTGACTGTGGGGGGAGGGGACATTAGAGCGTAAGCTCCTCTGGTACAGAGACTGATGTGACTGTGGGGGGAGGGGACATTAGAGTGTAAGCTCCTCTGGTACAGAGACTGATGTGACTGTGGGGGAGGGGACATTAGAGTGTAAGCTCCTCTGGTACAGAGACTGATGTGACTGCGGGGGAGGGGACATTAGAGTGTAAGCTCCTCTGGTACAGAGACTGATGTGACTGCGGGGGAGGGGACATTAGAGCGTAAGCTCCTCTGGTACAGAGACTGATGTGACTGCGGGGGAGGGGACATTAGAGCGTAAGCTCCTCTGGTACAGAGACTGATGTGACTGCGGGGGAGGGGACATTAGAGCGTAAGCTCCTCTGGTACACAGACTGATGTGACTGCGGGGGAGGGGGACATTAGAGCGTAAGCTCCTCTGGTACACAGACTGATGTGACTGCGGGGGAGGGGACATTAGAGCGTAAGCTCCTCTGGTACAAGACTGATGTGACTGTGGGGGAGGGGCATTAGAGTGTAAGCTCCTCTGGTACAGAGACTGATGTGACTGTGGGGGGAGGGGGACATTAGAGTCGTAAGCTCCTCTGGTACAGAGACTGATGTGACTGTGGGGGAGGGGACATTTGAGCGTAAGCTCCTCTGGTACAGAGACTGATGTGACTGTCGGGGGAGGGGACATTAGAGCGTTAGCTCCTCTGGTACACAGACTGATGTGACTGTGGGGGAGGGGACTTTAGAGTGTAAGCTCCTCTGTGGTACAGAGACTGATGTGACTGTGGGGGGAGAGGGATCTGCCTATTTCCAGTGTAAGCTCCTCGTGATGTCGGGGACTGATGGGGGGGTATCCTCCGCACTGCTCAGCCTCCTCCTCCAGTCTCAGATTTGGGGGGATCCGGGCCGTATTTATAATTACTGAAGGAATCGAGGATACAATTGTCACGTTTCTTGCTTTGCTGTCCATATTTGATGTGATGGATCTCTCTGGTGCCGCTGCATTGTACAGAACAGAAATGCAGATATCTCCCATTGGGGGGATAAGAGCCATCAAAGGCCAACCAGACCATCATCATTGGAGGGAAAATTTCCATGATGACAGATGTGCGGACGCTGCGGCTAGTGGCCGGCTGTATGTCCGGCAATCCTGCCTACGGTACTGGATTTGTTTTGTTCTGTTTGCTTTCACACTTCGGGATTAGTGCAATCCTGGAGATCAGGAGTGTTCAGTATTTCCCACGCCGAGTCTGTCAAGTGCTTGTCTCAGAAGGACAGAACCATCTCTGGTCAGGCATCATCCAGGATGGAGTCACCATCCACTTTCCGAACTGAGATGGTGGCTCAGGGATGACACAGTCATGTAAATTCCGCTGCTTGTGCCGGGGATCCTGGTTGTGTTCAATGAATGTCTGACACAGATACAGCCCCCTGCTGTAGCCTCTCATCCTTGTTCCAATGTTCTCAGTCCGCAGATCACTGGGGGAGGGGAAACTAGGAGGAGGAGGAAGCATTTCCTCAGTCTCCTCCCCCAGTGATCACACTGTACATTGTAACTTTGTAGAAGGAGGAGGAAGCATTTCTTTCCTCAGTGTCACCACTCCCCTCCCCTGAGTGAGTGAGACACAGTTCCATGTAAATTCCGCTTTGTGCCGTGATCCTGGTTGTGTTCACTAAGGAGGAGGAGGCATTTCCTCAGTCTCCCTCCCCCAGTGTCAGACTGTACATTGTAAGGGGTAGACTAGGAGGAGGAGGCATTTCCTCAGTCTCCCTCCCCCAGTGATCAGACTGTACATTGTAACTTTGTAGAAGGAGGAGGAGGCATTTCCTCAGTCTCCCCTCCCCCAGTGATCAGACTGTACATTGTAACTTTGTAGAAGGAGGAGGAGGCATTTCCTCAGTCTCCCCTCCCCAGTGATCAGACTGTACATTGTAACTTTGTAGAAGGAGGAGGAGGCATTTCCTCAGTCTCCCCTCCCCCAGTGATCAGACTGTACATTGTAACTTTGTAGAAGGGGGAGAAGGCATTTCCTTAAAGTTACAATGTACAGTGTCTGATCACAAAGTTTTGTAGAAAAGATCGCTGGGGGAGGGGAAACTGGAGGAGGAGGCATTTCCTCAGTCTCCCCTCCCCCAGTGATCAGACTGTACATTGTAACTTTGTAGAAGGAGGAGAGAAGTTACAATGTACAGTCTGATCACTGGGGGGGAGATCTGGGAGACTGAGGAAATGGCCTCCTCAGTCCTTCTACAAAGTTACAATGTACAGTCTGATCACTGGGGGAGGGGAAGACTGAAGAAACGTTTCCTCCTGCTGCAGCAGATTGATGACATCATCTCAGCCTAGGCACAGTCACTGATTAGAGCTCAAGAATGGCCTTTTCATCATAAAATCTGATAATATCCCTGATTCCTCCTCCCCTTAGCAACATTGTATTGACATCTTAACAAAAAATTTTCGTTTTCATTAAATACCTTATTTTAGATCCAGTGACATCATCACTGGGTCTTTGTACTTCTCTATGCAATGCAGGCAGATCATGGCTGATGGGAAGGGCCAGCAGGGGGCTGTACATAGCTTCCTGAAAACCTTCTAGCCCCGCCTCAGTACTCCTCTCAAGAGCCCTCAGTCCTGATGCAAGCAGTGGGAGGAGTTATGATGGGTGGAGTCAGTCTGTAATATTCTGTATTGCTATAACTCCAGTTCTGTATGCAGGTTTGATTGGCGGGATGGAGAACGTATACAGTCACCTGCAGACGATGGCGGCGGCTAAACGCCCCAAACCACCTTCGCCGGGCAATGACCCTTTAAATTCGATGCAGTGGTTCGGTTTGGATACATCGACGATGTTCCCCTTCCCCCGGGAGGTGTCTCCCTTCCCCCTCTCTCAGGATCTGGCTCTTCTCTCGTATTATGACCCGGCCAGGATGGACTATTACTATGGCGCCCTCTACGGCCTCCCAACCCCGACCAACGGCCAGAAATTCAGGACCTGCGAGGAGTTCTACGGTCCGGCGTACATCCGGAAGAGGAACGAGAGGGAGCGGCAGCGGGTGAAGTGCGTGAACGAGGGCTACGCCAAGCTGCGGCACCACCTTCCTCAGGAATACACGGAGAAGAGGCTTAGTAAGGTGCAGACGCTCAGGGCGGCCATCCGTTACATCGTCCACCTGCAGGAGGCGCTGCGCTGGGGGGGCGGAGAGGAGGCCACAGACTCTCTACAACCAACCGGCAAGACTAGGAGGAATGACACCCACCGCAGACACGACTCCTGTGACTTTCTGAAAAGGTCTCGGCGCTGAGACGGCGATCGGGCGCCAATATTGATAACCGCCAACGATTCCTTAGAACGATTTACCACCTTGAGAGCTAAACTGCTCAGAATGGACAGAACCGGGAACTGCGGGCTGATATAAAAGACACGAACGCAGCTCTGTAATCGGCAATCGATCAATAAATCTGTTTCATACAAGCAGTGGAGGTGCCTGACTTTGTTTTGGGCTTCAGTCTTCTTGCAATCCCTGTACAGCAGAGCTCAGACTGGGGAAAAAGGTGAAGCAGCACAAGGCGACAATTAGCTGTGCTGTAGTTGAGGAAGCTTGCTGATAGGAGGAGAGAGCAGAGTGACAGGTGAGCTCATCACTGGGCTGCTCCTCCTTTCACTGTCCAGTCACAGGATGGGGGGGGTCACTTGACATCACACAGTCAATCACATTTAGTGGACGGACCGCAGTAGTCACGTGTGAAAGCATATGCAGCACTTTAAGCAGCCAGCTCCTTCTAACAGTCTCTCTCCAACTGGGGAAATGTAGTACTCGCAGTACTGGGCTCTCTGTAGTCACCTCCTCCGTGGGTACACCTCTCTCAGGACCCTCCAAGGAAGAAGCCTCCCTCAAGGAATTCTTGGCCTAGCAGCAATGTCCTTGCAATCCTCCGTAGCGCATGCAGGTTGTAGCGCCTATCGGGCGGACTGACAACTCATGGGGCCCCCGGGCAATAGGGGATCATGGGGGCCCGTGTCCTTGCCCACACCCAAAAAAGCCTATGAAAAAGCCAATGAAAGGTACCAGGGGCATCTCATGGGGCCCCCTACTGATCCTGGGCCCTCGGGCAGTGCCCAAGTGCTCGAATGGCCAGTCCGCCCCTGGCGCCTATGTAATATACACTGGAATTTTTGTTTTCATACTACTAATGGCAGTGACCAGCGACTTATAGTGGTGATAGTGCGGCAGGCAATCTGACACTCACTGGGAACTAACTGCCATTGACATCACCAGTGACCCTTAAACTATACACTTGTTACTGTACTAATGACACTGGCTGGGAAGGGGTTAACATTTCGGGTACTCAAAGGGTTAACTGTATGCCTAACAAGTGTTGATCTGTGTACAGTGTGCTGATTTTTAGTGCTTTGCAGGGAGAAGAAACAGAGAGATCGTTCCCTTGGTACAGAGCTCTTGCTTGTTTGTCAACACAGCGCTCTAGGATGTGATTGGACACCGCAGATCTGCAGCTGTGGATGGGCGGCCTGTACAGGCACAGAGAGGTAACCTGTACGTTGCTGGCCTCTTCCGGGTACAGGGTGCGCATGCCTGCCTGTCCGCCGGCTCTCGCAGAGGGAGTTTGTCAGCAGGTCCTAGCCAATAAATTCCTGTCTGGGATCTGCTGACAAACTGGGCGGGCGGGCGGGCACGCGCGCCCTGTACCCAGAAGAGACCAGCGACGTCCAGGTACCGTTCTGTCCCTGTACGTGCCCCCCGCAGTGGGAATTTTGTCAGCAGGTCCCAGCCAATAAATTCCTTTCTGGGATCTGCTGACAAATTCCCGCTGCGGGAGTGGGCGGGCGGGCATGCGCGCCCTGTACCCAGAAGAGACCAGCGACGTCCAGGTACCGTTCTGTGCCTGTTCGTGCCCCCCCGCAGCGGGAATTTTGTCAGCAGGTCCCAGCCAATAAATTCCTGTCCGGGATCTGCTGACAAACTCCCGCTGCGGGAGGGGAAGGCGGGCACGCGCGCCCTGTACCCAGAAGAGACCAGCGACGTCCAGGTACCGTTCTGTGCTTGTGCGCGCCCCCCGCAGCGGGAGTTTGTCAGCAGGTCCCAGTCAACAAATCCTGGCCGGGACCTGCTGACAAACTCCTGCTGCGGGAGTGGGCAGGCGGGCGGCAAGCGCACTCCCTGTACCCAGAAGAGACCAGCTACGTCCAGGTACCGTTCTGTGCTTGTGCGCGCCCCCCGCAGCGGGAGTTTCGTCAGCAGGTTTCAGTCAACAAATCCCTGGCCGGGACCTGCTGACAAACTCCCGCTGCGGGAGTGGGCGGGCGGGCACACGCGCGCCCTGTACCCAGAAGAGACCAGCGATGTCCAGGTACCGTTCTGTGCCTGTACGTGCCCCCCACAGCGGGAATTTTGTCAGCAGGTCCCAGCACATAAATTCCTGTCCGGGATCTGCTGACAAACTCCCGCTGCGGGAGTGGGCGGGCGGGCACGCGCGCCCTGTACCCAGAAGAGACCAGCGACGTCCAGGTACCGTTCGGTGCCTGTACGTGCCCCCCGCAGCGGGAATTTTGTCAGCAGGTCCCAGCCAATAAATTCCTGTCCGGGATCTGCTGACAAACTCCCGCTGCGGGGGCGGGCGGGCACGCGCGCCCCTGTACCCAGAAGAGACCAGCGACGCCCAGGTACCGTTCTGTGCCTGTGCGTGCCCCCCGCAGCGGGAGTTTTGTCAGCAGGTCCCAGTCAACAAATCTCTGGCCGGGACCTGCTGACAAACTCCCGCTGCGGGAACCGGCGCGCACCCTGTACCAGAAAGAGGCCAGCGACACATAGGTAACTCTCTGAGCCTGCGCAGGCCGCCCATCCACAGCTGCAGATCTGCTGTGTCCAATCACAGCCTACCGGAGTCGCCCGTCCACAGTACACCTGCAAGCGGTTAAATTTGAGTCACCATGGAAACAATTCTACAAAATAAATGATAAAACGGCTTCTTCCACAACAAACACTTCGAAATTAATTCCGTACAAAAAACATTCCGCCTTCAGCGGCTCCATTGAAGGAGTCAGTCGAAACGCGTGGCCATTACATGCGACTCATCGAGTGATTCTCCCGCCGCCGGGCGCTCCGATAACACGTGACGGTAACGGCTTTCTGTTGGTTTCCATCCATTCGTAACACAGAGATTTACACTTTGTGGTCCTTCATGTTACATTGTTACTGGAAATCATTATATGAGGTCGGATCCGTCGCAGCGCCAGGAAAAGACGCGGCTCTGAAGTGGCATCTCCGAGACGCGGGATGGAGGCGCCATTGATGGAGTCCAACGATCGCTCTGTAATGAGGCGGCAATGGAATCGACGTGCGAAGGGAGGAGTGCGGCGCACGTGTCCGGAGCGCAGAGATCTCAGAATTGTTACAGAGCGCGCTCAGTACGGACACAGCGAGACCGCATCACATTAATATTCGTCAACACCGCGCTCACTTCGGGTGCGACTTGCAAATCGTATGCCAAGCCGCACCCTATTGGCCGCAATCACAGCGGTGAACAGAAAGCCGGAGACATGTGTGCGCGGTATGAATGATACGATACATTGTGTGCACCCTGCGCGCTCCCAGCACGCATGTCCAGTACTCACGGAAAGGTCCCGATCGACTTTTCCCGATCATGTGACCACATCATGTCACATGACCCTACACCCTGCCCCGCCTCCCGGCTTCTGAAACTATTAAAGGGCCGGGAGGCGCCGGCGTGAAGAGGTTAATCTGCCCAGCAACAAGTTGGCAACAAACCCCCATCAAAACGCATAAAAAAACGCATGTATGAAAAAACGCACCGCAGAAATGGATCAGATGCAATCTGCATAGATGTGAACGTAGCCGTAAACGCATAACGTGGCGTTTTGGTTCAATAGACGTCAATGGAGACGCTGCAGAGACGCATGTAGTGTGTCTTTGATGCATTTTGTGTTTTAATCTGCCCAGTAACAAGTTGGCAACCCCCCCCCCCCCCCCCAAAAAAGCAAAACGCATCAAAATGTGTCAAACGCATGGCAGAAACGGATCAAACGCAATCTGCATAGATGTGATTGTAGCCGTAAACGCATAACATGGCATTTTGGTTCAATAGACTTCAATGGAGACGCTGCAGAGACGCATGTAGTGTGTTTTTGATGCGTTTTAATCTGCCCAGCAACAAGTTGGCAAAACCCCTTTAAAAACGCAAAAGGCATCAAAATGGGTCAAAAACGCAAAACGCACGGCAGAAATGCATCAGACGCAATCTGCATAGATGTGAACCAATCTGTAAACGCATAACATGGCGTTTTGGTTCAATAGACGTCAATGGAGACGCTGCAGAAATGCATTAAGTGTGTTTTTGATGCATTTTGCGGTTTAATCTGCCCAGCAACAAGTTGGCAAACCCCCCCCTAAAAACGCAAAATGTGTCAAAAACACACGGCAGAAATGCATCAGATGCAATCTGCATAGATGTGAACCAAGCCGTAAACGCAAAACGTGGCGTTTTGGTTCGATAGACTTCAATGGAGACGCTGCAGAGACGCACGAAGTGCGTTTTTGATGCATTTTAATCTGCTCAGCAACAAGTCGGCAAAAAAAACTCGCCATAAAACTGCAAAACGCATCAGAAAAAAACGTATATGTGCAAAAAAAAAACAAAATGCGCCGCAAAAAGCACTGCAGAAACGACTCTAAACGCAAACTGCACTTAGAGCGCCCCCACTCTGGAGGAAGGAGCACAGGGGACACCTTTGGACAGCAGTATTGTCAGTATGAGTGGGGGGAGGGGGAAAGCGTTAGGTGAACTAGCAGATTTAGATACACTAACACTCCAGCTCACACGTTAGGCTAGGTTCACATCTGTGCGGGTGGTGCAGCTGCGGATCAGCATGACAATCTATGCAGCCGCACCCCCCGCACAGAGAAATGCGGACCCGCGGGCGGGGGCCATTAGTTCTAACGCCACACCACCCCCGCACTGGAAAACGCAACCGCACTGGGAACCTCGGCTGCGTTTTCAGAAGTGCAGGGACTTCTCTGCGTGTCCCGGGGCACGAGAGTCCATTCAAATGAATGGACGCAAAACGCATCCCGAGGGGCCGCATAGATGTGAACCGGGGGCTTCGATCCGTTCCAGTAAGCGTTTTATTCCTATTGCGATAACGGTTTTCCATCATCAAATAAAAGCTGATCCTTGTAAGCACAACTGTCAGTGCGAAATGGTTTGTCACATCTGCAGGAGAGCTTGTTCTCTTGAAAAAAACAAAAAAAACAAAAAAAAAAACAAC